GGCACTAGTACGCGTCGCACTCGCTTTGCCCGTGCGCTGGCCGTCAGACAGTAGAAGCCCCAAAGCGCTGGTATCTAGTTCATTTTGCGGCAAACGACTTTGGGCGTGTTTGGATCCGATTATAATCTGAGTCTTGAATCACCGACCACGAGAATCAAAGACAATATAGCGCCAAACTTCCCGCGGTGTTGGCGATTATTTCAACTGCGACAGACGCAGCCACCGCAAGAATACACTACCGCTCACAATTCCTATACTGTAGGTTGATAGCCATGTTTTTTTTCTCGAATACGCAAAGGATCTTTGCACATTATTTTAATTAAGATAGAAGAGTTTAACATACAACGACACGCTACTAACAAGGCCCTAGATCTACAGGGTTACAGCCTGCTGGAGCTGGGCCGTCCTAGCTTACAGATTCAAGTTTTGGTATTACACACAAGGTAGACAACCTTAGATTTGGGCAGCAATGCAACCTAAGAAGTTCCAACGTGGCCCTGTTTCGACAGCCGTGAAAAGCGCTTCCCGTGCTTCGACGTTGGAAGCATTCAACTCAGCTTTGAAGAGCCCCTCGTAGGCCTTTCATCCTGACATGCTTGGCGTTGATAGACCTAGGACCAAACCCATACGCTGCATGATAAGGATCTCACCTCGCTTGGACATAGGCACCCGAGAGAGACTCTGAGCCGCCAGCCACTTGCTCCGCAGTGGGAGCACCGGCTTAGTAGGTGACGGCTGCTTGGGGGCCTGACGAATTAGCGGGGAGTCGACCTTCCTCATCACCCGCTTAGTGAAGCCCTTGAGACGGCGTGTGGCGGAGTTGTCGCTGTCTAGAGTCGGATGGTCATCCCGTAGTGGCATACTGAGCAGGTTAGCGTCCATCATGGTCTCGTACCAAAGCCTGGTGGACAACCTGCCTCGTCCTCTAAAGATGCATCAGTGCCCGAGGGGGTGTCCGTGCCACCCATGGTGGCGTGACCTATGCCTATGCCTGCCCGGGTGACAGCGGAGGTGAGTTTGTTACCAACTGAGCGGGGTGCAATGGAGCGGCCCACTCCATCGTGGAGACGCTAGGGCGATCGTCGCGCTAGGACGACAACTGCAGCCCACCCGAGAGGGCGCAGGTGCACACGTAGATGGCCATTGACGAGGTCCACTCTTTTGGAGAGGCCGACACTGGAGTTGTGGACAGGCTCCTTGGCCTAGGGCCTCCCGCGATCCAGGCTGAAAGCGAGCGAAGCCACGAACTCCTCCAGCATCAGGTCCTTCGTGGTGTCACGATACATGTGTGGCGTCCGGGTACGACATCAGCGTCAACGGGTCGAGCTTGGCATGGCCCATCTCGCTGGTCAGCTCACCACGTCCGGCCCAGGCTCCAGCAGCAATGGATGTGTCGCCCAGTGTTACCGGGGCGTCGGCTGCCGACCAACCCTGACACCTCCGTCGTTGGCGCCAGCGGCCGTCACTGATACGACCGGTGTTGTCTAGCATGGCCCCACCAAAGTCTCTTGAACCACCGTGGGTTAATTTATGTGGACCTTATGTCAATGGCACGCAAAACTTCAAAAAGAATATATTAGATTTCTCTTTCTAAAATAATTATTTACATTGAATCAGTGAACAACATAGTCTTTTGCTATCAATTTGTATATAAACTGTCTCAAGCCTTTAGGGGCAGTAGAGGGATTTCTTACCAAACCTACAGTCATGTTTGTTTCAATCAAAAACCTTTCAGTTTTCTCAAAATTGACAGCGCAGAACTCACAACAGCTTTTCTACATCATAAAGCCCACAACAACTTTTTTCATAGCTCACGGCCGACCAAAACCCCTAAATTCTTCGCCTAGTAGCATTTTTTAGAAAAAGAATAATTCCAGCCTCTACAAGCATACACAACCAATCTCTTACAAGATTTTTAGCATAAATGTTGATAAACAAATAAAGGGAAAGATCACACTTTAGAATGAAAATTATTATCAAAGTCTATTATTGTTTTTCCATCTATTCTTGGCGAAAATATCCAGAGCGATCAACTCCAAAGATTTGCTCACCAACCAGATCATCTCCCTAGTGTCCTCGCGCTACAGCAATGCCCAAAACCGTAGCCAATATGTTCCCCTAAAGGTAGCATGCAAAAAGAAAGTATTTTTTTCTCAAAAACAATATCACTACGTTGAACACCAATTGCTCAAATAAGAGTTGCGCTCTCCCACAAAAATGTTTTTTCTCCCCGTCCTTGCTAGGCCCGTTAGCCAATTCACCAATATATGAGATATGGATCTAGGTGGGTATAACCCAGTAGCTATATGAATTATGTTCCAAATTGTCTTAGCATGTTGACAATAAAAAAAACAATGCTTAATTGTGTCATTGCAATTACAGAAACAACATTTTTGGCTATCCTTTCTTTTGCCTAAATATCCTTTGTTAAAATCACACCTTGTTGAAGGTACCAAAGGAAAATCTTTATTTTAAGAGGGAGTTTCAGATTCCAAATAATTTTCTTGGTAAAAGAGATGTCCTGGTTTTATCATAAATCGGTACATTGACTGCACTGAGAATTGACCATGATTATGTGAGTCCCAGTTAAAACCGTCCTTACCCTCTGAAAGCTGAATCTTGGTTATTCTCACTACCAAGTTATGCCAAGCAATTAATTTGTCTCCGGCTAGGGCTCTTCAAAAAGCGATATTAAGAGGCCTTTGAGTCATGACATTCTCAATAGTAACATGACGACAATTGATAATATTCTCTAATATTATACACAGGCTAGGAAATTGTTCTTTCAGGGTGTAGAGCCTATCCATCTATCTTTCCACAATCTGATTTGTGAGCCATCTCTTATCCTAAATGCCCCGTATCCTATAAAATCATCCCTAACCTTTAAAAAACCTTTCCAAAAGTGAGGATACCTAGGCTTAATTTGAATCTGGGTCAAACATTTTGAGCTCAGGTATTTATTCCTGAGTAAGATCTACCAGTTTCCTTCTTTATTCAGCAATTGAAATAACCACTTGCTTAGAAGACATTTGTTTTTAACTTCAATGTCTGTTATGCCTAACCCACCTTGGTCTATAGGGCGGCATAGAATGTCCCACTTAGCAAGACAATATTTCTGTTCATCATTGTTGCCTTGCCAAAAGAATCTTGTTGATGGATAAAAATTAAATCATTTAGGGACACCCCTTGGAATTTCATGCCTGCCGTTTTCTCAACGGTAATGCTGTGTGTAGGGCGTCTGTGATCTTCCTGAACCTGCAACTGCACTGCACAGCCTGCCTCCTATTTTTTTTGTTATCGCCCGCGTCCGTCCCTGCCATTGTGCCGGCCAGACACCTTCCCTGCTCTGCTTCGTCCATCGTCCATGGCGTTCCCTTATTTTCCTTCCCCGAAAACTCTATCGCTGCCACCTCCACCGCTCAAGCCACGACGCCCATTGGGCCTCCCTTGTCACAGCTCCTGCTCCGCCGTCCTCCCAGATTGACGGCGCGGGCGCCGCCGCACCCACGTGTGGAGACCGCTTCCTCGGCCGCCAGCTAGCCACCGAGGTCGCCAGGCGCGTGCTCGCGCTTGACGACGCCGATAGGCGCCGCCAGTGCAAGGAGAAGCGCTGGGCCCTGACGTGGAGCCCTCTGTCCTCGTGCTCCTGCTATGGCTGCGGCGCCCGCCGTAGCTAGCGGAGGAGGCCGCATCAGGATACGTCGTATGTTGCAAATGTATCTTCCAAATGTTTCAGGTGTTTTAGAGATATGTTGCAACTGTTTTATGTGGATGTTGCAAAAGTAGATCAAGATGTTGCACATGTTGCAACGGCTATACACATATGTTTCAAGTGTATGTTCCTAATGTTGTATATATATGCAAGTGTTTCGGGTGTTTTTCATACGTATGTTGCAAGTGTTTTCATCTGAATGTTGCAATATTTTGTAATGGTATGCTTTCAAGTTTTTTCTAGTGTGTTGCAAGTGTCTCAGACGTATGTTGCAAGTATTTTAACTATTTTGGACGTATGTTGTAAGTATTTTATTTAGATGTTGTAAAAGTAAATCTAATGTTGCAGATATTGGGTCCCAGCTGCCGCTGCCGCCTGCTGCTGGGGCATCACCGAGCAGGTGCTCGCGTGTGGTCGGGTAGCGCAGGAGACGTCCGCGCGGTGCGGCCCCCGCCTAGGCGCGCAAAATGAGCGGGCGCAAGAAATAGGGCATGTTTGGATAGGACCCTGGACGTGTTGCCTGGGCTTTTGAGCTGCCTGTCACTTGCCTGTGACCCAGTAGCAAAACTGCCTGGTCAGGCAAGTCTGTTTTTCATATCTTGTTTGGTTGACGTCCTGGAAGTAGACAGAGGGACGGGGCAGCGTTTGGTTGATGTGTCTCACGTGGCTTCCTGTAGGATAGTTGGATAGGAGCCCAGGCAGTCGATTTCCTACGCCTGCTCACAGGCAACTGTCACAGGCAACTCGTAGCAGGCAGATTTCTCAGGATGCCAACCAAATGAATCACAGGAAGATTACAGGCAGGTGTCCAGTCCAGGCATTTCAGTCCAGGCCTTTATCCAAACATGCCCAGGAAATGGACCAGCAGATGCGGGTGTGCGTCGGGACGTCGGGCGCTAGCATCCTTGTTTTCTCAAATACAGTGGTTCACGGGCTGTAAACCCGGGTACTGCACAGGCCGCACGCCCGCACTTACATTTGAGATGGACGGGGCCATGGAATGTTCGAATGGAAAGTTGTGCTGCCGAAACGGCTTCGAAGCTACCGTCGGTCTAGTGTCCAGTACTGAGGTTTGGCAAGTAGGGTGGAAAGCGAGAACCAGTGCGTTCCCAAGTGCCGGACGGGATCGTTTACTTCTCCTTTCTGTTGAATGATGAGAGATACTGATCTACCTCCTTGATCCTGACCGGTTGATCCAGCAGCGGTGTCTATATACATACGCACCACCTGCTCAGCTTTCTTCATCACAAACTGACACAGCCACACATCCACGACGAGACTGCATGCAATGGGATCAACGCTTTCTTGCATCCATGGCAATAGTGTCTCCAGTCAGTCGCAGCAGCCGGCACCACCGGAGCCGGCCAGGGTGATCGCCCCCGACGGCACGCTGAAGGAGCTCCCGGCCTCTGACCCCCTCGCGTCCGTCTCCGACGTTCTCGGCTGCGGCGCCTCGTTCTTCATGTGCAACTCCGACGCGCTCTACTTCAACGAGCCGCCCCCGGCGCTGGCTGCCGCTGAGCGGCTACGGCCGGGGCAGATGTACTTCGTGCTCCCTGCGGAGATCCTCGGGCACCCGCTGTCGACTGCCGACATGGCCGCGCTGGCGGTGCGCGCGACCTCCGCGCTCGGGCCCGGCGACAAGCCGCCGCAGCGCCGCCGCCGGCGGCGCGTCGTGCCGGTCACGCGACTGGAAAGCAAGGACCACGACGAGGGCGAGCAGAGTGTGTTCTACGAAACGCTGAACGAGCTCACGCTCGGGGGCTCCGCCGTGTTCACGTTCACGGCCCCCGCGAGGAGCGCCGAGAAAGTCGCGGCGGTGGCCTCGAGAGAGACCAAGAGGTCGTCAGCGTTCACGAGGATGCTGAGCATGATTCGGGAGGACGCTGAGTGAGGCCAAGGTGCAGGACTGTAGAGGCAGGAGCTCAGGTGTAGTTGTACTAGGCCCATGTTGTGTGACCTTGCTAAGCGCGTAAGCCCAACAAAGGTTCTTCATTGGCCCAATTGATTTTTTTTTTCTCGACAGTGTCACGAGGCACGTTTTTTCATTAAGAGAAAGGTGCTTATTTTGACACTTGACAAGGTTGTAAACTTGGACACCACTGTAATAATATGGTTTCCCGCTGCGTATAGCTGCAAAAATACTGTAATTAATAACAAGAGTAGTTTCGATATTCATAGTCCATTCATGATTACCTTCTTCCTCGGTTCCTCCTAATCTCCTATTGAGGAAGCCAAGGCACTCTGCGAAGATTTACCTCAGCATATCCATCAGTAATTCAAAAAAGGAGTAGGAGAGCAACCTACTAATTTCTGAATATGGGGATGCATCTTGTAGCTTGTGTTCAGCTTTGAGATCCAAGCATCAGAGAACCTGCTTCGATTGAGTCAACCGTGCACCGTCGTTCTGGCTGAAGAATGTAAATATGATTTTGTAATCATATCATGTTGTCATTTCAGTCTGTGGCCTTCCCTTCGTTAGCTAAATACTTTCACGACTAGTCCTTACTTCAAGATCAGCTTAAATGTTTGGGGGCACCGACCATTGATCACCAACTGATTACTGGAAACGGCACAGTAAGGACTTCTTCCTGGTTCTCACCATGGTTGTGACTTGCAAATTCAAAGGTATTCTGTTATTCTGTATGGATAAGAAATGGTTCAGTCCTAATGTCCATTTTGCTTTGTGGATTTTCTAATAAAAAAAAGATCCTTTCTGGCTTGTTTGTTCGTTTTTCTTTCTTTTTCTGAAGTCAAAACAGTCACTCTGTTTATCTGACGAATGTTGATGTGTTGTTGGGGTGACAGGATGGCAGAAAGTGGCATATGTTCAACTCTCAAAGCAGCAGTGAAGTGGCCATCAGGTCGATATACTAATTATTAGATCCCAATGCTCACCTGGACTGCAGAAAGCCCAAAAAATCTTACCATGTTTTCAATCTATGGCCTTTCCTTTGTTAGTGAACCAATCAACATTCAGTAAAGCCTAAAAGTAGAGCTAAGCATTTTCACGACTAGTGCTTGCCGAAAGATCAACTGCATGTTTTTTGACTTGTTCATGTTTCCCTGTACACAACTGAATGTTTAACCTATTGTGCTTGCCTGCTTGGTAACTTTTGGTCCATTTGGAGCCCCTCTTTTACAAAATTGACGACACAGCTTTGACAAAAAAAAAAGTCAACTGGATGTTCCTTCCTTATTTCCTCAGTTCTCCCCATGGTTGTGACTTGAAAATTCAAAGGCATTCTCTTTGAACATGAATTGGTTTAGTGAACTGCCTATTTCTTTGTTTATGCAATGACATTTAATTCTCTTGTGTGTTTGAGGAAAAAATCAGTTCATTTATTTTCGTTTTTTCCTCCTTTTCCCCAAAAAGGAAGCAGACACTGAGTTCTCTTTGCTCCCTCTTTGTGGAAAAAAAAATGTTCAGATCTGAACAATGCAGTTAAACGACCATCGAGTTGATATACTAGTTATTAGATCCAACAGTGCAAATACTCAATAGGACTATAGAAAAGCTTAAAATATTTTACAAATGACTTACTTTCTCTTTCAGATGGCAAATGGCTTACTCTTACAAGTAAACACTGCATCTGGGATGAGATTACTTACAGGATGTGCAGTATAAGATGAGATTGCACTGCATCGGCCACAGAGAATACACAATCCAGTTTAGCAAAATGGAGGCACTAGCGCCCGGACGTCCGGTGCCCGCGGCGTGTTCGGGCGCAACTCCAAGTCCAAGCGAACAGAACCGTGGCCCAGCTCCCAGTCACAAGCCCACCGCAGCCCGCCCCCCGTCCGCCTTCGCCCCACCCCACGCGCACACTCCGCCCCCGCCTCTGCACCCGCCAGTCGCCCGTGACCCCCTCCTCTCTCTCCGCGTGGGCGGCACTAAGGGGCCGGGAGGAGCAGCTAAGGATGAGCATGCCCCCAGCATGCCCCGACCGCAGCAACCCCGTCCGCCAGCCCGCAGCGCCCCCGCACGCTTAACATGAATGCAACATAAGATGGAAAACAGACAAAACATTTGGAAACATGTTTTTACAACATGTGTGTGAAAACACATGAAACATCCAAAATAAAACACTTGTAACTTAGAACATGAAACCACTTGCTGCAACATAAGGCCGAAACAACTAAAACATTTGAAACATATTGTTGGAACATATGCAACATCCAGATAAAAACGATTGCAACATACGTCTGGAATTATATGAAACATTTTAAACAAACGCTTGCAACATGCCTCTGAAACACTTGCAACATGTGCAACCCTCGATTTACTTTTGCAACATCAAGTTGAAATAATTACAACATACGTCTGAAACACTTGAAACATACATATGCAACATAGGAGAGGGGAAAGCTAGGTTGGTCGATTCCGGCCATCGAGGTCGGAGCCGGCGGGCGCGAGCACCACCAGCACCATCCGCGCTCGTGGGTGCCCTTGGCTCGGCCGGGGAAGACCTGAGGCGCCACAACACACGCGCCCTAGCGGCAGCGGACGAGCGCGCGGTGGGGGAAGAGGCGCGACAATGAGCGGACATGTTGCTTCTAGGCCCTGCGGATAAGCACGAGGGAGTGGGGGAATTTTGTTTTTTGTTTGGAGCTCGGAGCTCCTGGGGAGTCGTGTCCGGACCGGAGTCACGGACGAACGCTTGAGTTGGATCATTTCCGTTAGTAAAAAAATGTGTATGGCGTAAAAGATGATTTGTGAACCTTTTGTCAGTTTCGGTCTCTGCATCCACCCTTTGTTAGAATTGTCAGTGAACTAATCATGGTATAACAATATGCAGTAAAAGATCGTTTTTCAGAATGCCAGTGACCAACTCCGGTGCATCTTGCACTGTAAACAGGAGTACCGGACTTTTGCACTACTTCAATAATATTTTTCAGCGAACCAATCAACAGTATTTTTTTCTCATAGCATTTTAGCATAAACATCAGCATAAGCTAAATTTTAGCGAGGGTCATAATATTTTAACACTTTTAATCACCATTTTTTAGATAACGGAACTAAGTTTGAGTTTTACATCAACGTTTTAAGGGTCTACGCCCAGCTGAGGCCACAAAACAGCGCACATTTGCACAAAGTCTGAATGCGAAATGATCAGGTGGGGGATTCTCTCTCCCCCACGCCACGTTGACACTTAAAAAAAAGTCTGAATGCACATAGGAGTAGTACTGCAATAGAAGCACGGATGGGTCTTTGGCATGTCACATCGAATGTTTAGATATTAATAAGGAGCATTAAATATAGATTAATTATAAAACTTAATTATATAGGTGGAGGCTAATTTCTGAGACGATTTTTTAAGCCTAACTAATTTGTCATTAGCACATGTTTACTGTAGCACCACGTTGTTAAATCATAGACTAATTAGGCTTAAAAGATTCGTCTCGCTAAATTTATCGCAAGTTGTGCAATTAGTTTCGTAATTAGTATATATTTAATACTTCATGCATGTGTCTAAATATTCGATGTGACAGAAATTTTAGGAGGTGACTAAAAACCAAACAGGCCAGTCCCTTTCGGCAATTATTTTAGCTTCTAATTCCGAAGTGGAAACAGTCCGCTTCATCTGAGGAAGAGCAATATGTCTTGTTTGGGTGATAATAAAATCAAAGATGTATTTCTCCTTTACAAGTTACTGGTACGACAAAACAGTTCTTACTAGTAGGCTAGTAGCTCAACGTTCTCACCAGAAATCCTCGCTGAAAGATCAACGGTACTTCCAAGAACTGGTCGCCTCTTGTTTTCTTTCTTGCCGAAAATGCTGCAATACGAAACTTGCAGCATGGTTCTGTTCTTCTGACGAATGTGATGTGTTGTTCCAGCGAAAGAAAAGGAGTAGCTGAAGCGGCAATTTGAGTGGATTTGTTTGTACTAGTGATCATTTATTTGTTCTTTCTTAGTACAATCTTAGTACTAGTATAAACACAGCTCGATTCCAAAACTGTTCAAATTCTATGCAATTTTAACTTCTACACGCTGATGGTTACTACCGCCCGACCATCGAAGATCCGGAGGTGCCGTAATCCGAGGGATCCCAGTCCAGCGTGGAGTTGCACACCGCCGACAGCGAGACGAAGACTTCATCCATGGCGGCGCCGCTGCTGGGCTCGGCGCGCCGCACACGCACCGCAGCGCCAGTGCAGCCATGGTGGCGCGAGGTCCATCAGAAGTCCCGTGCGGCGCGGTGGGTCCATGAACGCGCGCACCTTGGCGCGGTCCACGTCCTCGCCGCCGCCGTTCGCCACCAGCGCCTCCTCCGCGACTCCCACAAGAGCGTCTCTCCTCGCCCGTCTGCGGCGTCCCGCGAACGCCTCCTCCTTCCCGACAACAGCTCGAGCAGGGCGACCCGGCGAACACGTCGAGCTCGCGCGTGATGAGGCCGTGCTCGAGGTACTGGGGGCGAGGTATCCCTGCGTGCCACGACGTGGCGTGCGTGAGCTGCGCGCCCGCCGTCGGCGCGGTGACCACGCGCCAGCCAAGCCTGACACCTTAGCGCGCAGGTCGGCGTCGAGGAGGATGTTGCTGCTCTTGAGATTCTTGTGCACGCACGGCGGGTTCGTGTAGTTGTGGAGGTAGTTGAGCCCGTCGGCGATGTCGAACGCCACCTGCACGCGCTGCCTCCACCGTAGTGTGCTGTCGCCACCGCCGCCGCAGTGGATCCGGTCGCTGAGCACGCCGTTCTCCGTGAACTCGAAGACGAGGTAGGTGTTGCCGCCGTGGACGCAGAGGCCAGAGAGGCGGACGAGGCAGGAGTGGTTGACGCGCATCAGGATGCCGACCTCTCCGCTCACGTCGCCGGCCACCCGCTTCACCGCCGCCGCGTCGCCGTTGATGACGGCCCGGTACACCGACGTGCCCGGCACCTGCCGCTCCTC